TATACATATCGATTGAAACTTTATATATTTCGCCTATTTAAAAGATTCGCACCTAAGACCGTAATGAAAAGCTAGCTATTGATCGAAGAAGACGATATACTTTAAATGCCTCATAAATATTAGTTACTTTCTCGTTAAATTTACTTCTCAAAAAGTCACAATTTAAATAATTATAAGGGACCGTAACTTTGGAACCTCGTAACGTTACTTCGTGTACTGCACAAGTGAAAATTTAATATTTCTTCGCGAATTTCGCATATTACGTCCGCCCTCGTTAACAAGACATTATATGACTTCCTTTTGACATTCAACAATTTTCCATACACATTTGTTAAATTGTTAAAATACTCGCGCAAAATGTTGCGAATTTCACATCTTACTGTAAGCTGTACGAGTATTAGATATAACGCTGTGATAGCTAAAACATTAAATATCTCAAACCACAGAACGAACCGAACATTTTTAGATACGGTACTTTTTAAGATAGAAAAGTACCCCACCCATATACCACAAGATGCACTGTCGTTCTATTTTAGCTGCGGTCATTCAAAGTAAAAGTTTCGAAATATAAGAATATATATGGGTAGATAACCCCGTATCGCTAAGGGATATAAAAATTCATATTAACCGATTCTTAGAATTACTAATTTCGTATAAAGTTTCATAAAAATCGGTTGAGCCATTTCGGATATATAACTATGTGATACCTGAATTTTATATATAAGATGACACTTGTACCCGATGGAGATCGAACCCATGGCGCGTTGATTGTTTCATTATTATCAATACATAGCAACTATAAAACCTATGAGCCCTGGTGTTCTAATTTAATTACGTTCTCTTTAAATAGTATATCTTTATTGTTAGTCTTAAAAAAACATCCACGCACAACTTAATAAACTAAACAAACATCTAAATCCATTGTACATACAACTCGCGGGAATTTTTACAGCCCATTTGCAAAGCTATAAAACAACTAAATTCCACTAGACAAATACATATATCGTAAAGCTATTATTTTTTTACCCAGTTTTTAAAAAGCAAGTTAATTAAGAAAAATATTAAACATATTGTCACACATCAAATGAGACACAGAAATGTGTTCGCCGCATGCCCCACGAGGGTTAAACGGGCTTTCACTATACTACTGAAGCTTCAATGTTTTTGTTTAACTGAAAATCGAACCATTGACCTTAAACTGCACTGGTTAGAAGCCATTTGGAACATAATGCTGCAATATGGGCACCTCACGAAGAAAAATACTGTGCCATGTTGGAAAAAATCCAAAATAAATTTGTAAGGCATTTATATTTTAAAATGTACGGGATTTATCCATATTATCCTCTTATGTACCCGACACTCTTTGTGCTAGGAATGGTGGGCTACAATAAGTTGAGAGTAAGAAGGGATTTTGCTCTAGCTACTTGTAACATTAAATTATTAAGAGGGAAAGTATACAACATCGGCGTCCTAAGCATGTTAAGCATAAACGTGCCTGACTGCTGTAGGTACAAAAGACACGCGCCACCTCTTCTCGTGGTGCCTTTTGCTAGAACGAACTTAATGGCAAAGGCACAATGGACGAGAACGGTCGAGGTCCTAAATGTTTTGCACAAAAAAGCAGATATTTTTTACAGTCCTTGTAGTGAACTCACAAATACATTAAAGTTTATTTTGAGTTATGAACGATAGTTTGGTTTAAGTTCATATATTTTTGTTCTATCATATATATTGTTTAGTTTTTAAGATCTCTGTCGCATTGGATCCAATCTGTTATGACAGTGCATATATGTAAATATTAAATAAATAAATAAATACCGCTTTTCAACAATATTTATTTTTGTCGGGTAATTAAGCTACATTCAAAGTCGTTTTTCAGTATAAAACAGCCTAATAAGAACAGTGGAACAGGAAAAAGCTTTTGAATATTAAAAATAACAAAGGATAACAGGGAAATTTATGAATATATTTAAATTTTAAGCGCACATTATGCAGCGGGGTCGCTGAATTTCAATCTTACTATTGTATAAAACGAGATATTTGCAATTTCATGCTATTTATGATAATAGCAACTTCCAGACAAAAGTCGTTTTGTTATAACAAATATAAAAGTGTTCATACTCTAATTATGTCTATAGAGACTACATTTTTGTTGATTTTACAGTATATTTTAAATAACATAGCATCCACAGCGTTCCTTGCTGCTGTTCTAAGTAATTTCATCGTCAATGATTTCTGAGATGCTAAGCATAAGACATTGAACCTCACTACGTAAGGGTTAAGGTTGAGATTGACTTATTAATATATTAAATAAATTCGACGATAACATGTAACACACGACAGCGCAATTGGTTAGAGCAGCAGCACGGAACGCTGTGGATGCCGGGTCAAATCCCGAAAATGTCGAATTTTTTTTCCAATCTGAATAGGTTTTTATTTATATACTAACATATTATGAAAAATAGTAAAATTGCTATATTTTCCTTTTATTTGCTTTGTGATAAGTTTAACTTTAAAGTTAGTAAATAATAGTTTAAGCATATACTACATATTTAAATAAAACACTTTAACGGTATAGATAAGTTCTTAAATAAGCAACACTGCTGCTGACGGGCAATAGTTAAAATGATTTGTTACGAGTTTAACTAATATATTTCGAGTTTTAAACCGTTTAAGCGTTTTTTTTTTAAAGTAAATAACGTATTAATTTAAGACACGTTTCCAGAAATTTCTGAGCCCCGTCAAAGGACCCGCAATCTTCTCGCCACATACTTTATTTAAGCAGACGATATAATCCCGTTCCAGTGGCAAACACGGCTGTTTGCTCGATCTTGAACGGGAACGCCGGTTTGCCATCGATGATCCCTCGGGATTTCGCTTGACGTATTGTATTTGTTGATGTAATTCCCTATGTTTATTGTATGAGGTGGCGAAGTAACCCACGTGTAAGATGGAAGTCCGGGTCCCCAACATTTTTCTTATCAATTTATAATGTTTTCGAAACATGTTGGACCTCATCTGGAAATCTGTAAATGGGTGGTAGGAATATCGAAATTCCGTCTGGGTTACGAACCCCCAGTCCACACATGAAAAAGCTGTGCTTCGCTTTGCTGTCCAGTTGGTAATTTAGCGAAACTGGATGGTTCCTAACAGAATTGAAGAAACTGCTGGCCGTAGTTAAAAATAACTTCTAAACTAGTTTAACGAATATATTTCGCGTTTTAAACTGTTAAACTATTTTCTTTAAACAAGTATATATTGCCATCAAGGCACAGAATAGAACTAGTAATATAGGACATCATTATTTACGTTAATAGCATCGCGATTGGCCTAACGCATAATCAGGCCAATAATTTAACCAGATCGCCGCCATATTGAGAGATAAAGATCGAAATGGGTTAACTACTGTCAGCGATTATTGAATCTAGATCTAGGATCGCGTCACGAGCGTTTCTGAGCTATAGTTATGGTGTCTAATTTAGTCTGGGCAATGGCTTGTCAGCATGTTACAAATTACGAGGTGCCTATTCCGGATTTACGATATAAGCCTCCAATGTGTGACGCATGTTGAAGTTATTGGCGGCTTCGAGTGTCTGTTACTGTAAGATCAGAGTTTAGTCTTAGCCTTAGCCAAGTCAACGATTCTAAAACTTTTAAGTGCAAAGCATCCGAAACGTCGGTCGGGCCGTAGTTAAAAATAATTTTCAAAAGTTTAACCAATGTGTATTACGTTTTAAACCGTTACAGTGTTTTATTTAAATGTGTGCTACTAGCGTAAACTTAAAAGTCTTTTAACGGTTTTAAACCGGAAATATATCATTTAACATGATGTTATATGTTTATACTTAATATAAATTAAAAACAAGTTTACTACTATATTTCGCGTTTTAACCCGTTAACAATGTATTATTTAAGTGTGCACTTTATGAATAAAAAATCAAGTTGATCAAATATCCTTTTTAAGATACAGAAGGACAGGCAAAAGGGGTTAACTGGACGGAAGATTAAATATAACATCTCAGCAAGATGCGATGTAGAGTTTTGGCTTCGAATATTCATACAGTTTATACAATAGAGATGTAAAAAAGAAACAAACTTGTAGTAGATAACATTTCCGTAGTCTTTATTCTCCAATTACAATGTAGCGAAGTGAAAATAATAATAATTTGTATCCATAATGCTGCAGTTTATATTAAAAGCGGGAAAGAAGCAATTTAACTTCGTCCACATTTCTACTTATGAAACAAAGTTTATAAACGTCATCAAGTTCTCTAGTTTACGACTTCTCAGCCATCGTGGTCTCTAACATGACGTAATATGAGAATGTCGTCTTTATTATCTGTAACAATGTTGCTATATTAAGTACTAGTTATGTCAGCGACTTCGTCCGCGTAGACTAGATATTTTGGCCATCCAAATTCGTTTTTGCAAACCTCTATCTTTATAATTTTAAGCTGCAATTTCGTCAATCGCTGGCATCAATTCTTGCAACTTTATCTTAAAAGACAAACATATAGTGTCGCATACATTTAAAGAGAAATTATTCTTTCATACATATTTTCTGGGTGTCTTAAACCGTTATCGCAGTATACGCATCTGAAACCCAGAGAGATGAAAAAAAATTTCCCCTGTTTTGTTAACATTTCCCGCTGTATCTCTACTTCTATTAGTCACAGCGGGATGTCTTCAAGCTTATAGCCTTTCTAGATAAATGTTCTAACTAACACAAAAATAATCACATAATGTTTACATACGTATTTCATAATGCTATGTGTATATTCAATAACCAGATTTCAATCACACAATTTTTAAAATGGTAGCACAGTATAGAATATGTACGGAATCCTTAGTGCTTTTATCTGACATGCACTTGGCTCATAATGTAATTAGAAAAGTCGATTTAGGGTTACGTATGCTCAACCATAATTTCTCATATAATACTTAACTGTTAATATTTTAGGAAATGCTTTATATCTAAACTGTAAGACTTTTCTTATTTCTTAAAGAGCAAGAAAAAACCCGATTACCGATATCATTGGTCTAACACCAGCTCTTAAGCCCCCAAATGCTTGGAATTCTAAAGGCGGTTGAACTCTTCGTAGCAGGAGGAGAAAAGTCTTCTGATTAGATACAGACATTGTCTCCCACGGAATATTGTATACTATGTCAGATAGATCTTCTGTCTGTAAAATTCGAGTTAATTAAACCTTTAGACACTATATGTTGTTTACGCAAGTTGCATTAATTAAAAAATTTAAGTTTAAAATACAAGGGCTATATATTGTCAAATACCAACTAGTATACACATGGCGCTTTCGTAGCAGATTCGGGTTTTTACATTAAGACATGCTCTAGTTAAATCTCCCCGTGACCACGGATGCTACAAAACATCCGAAACTGGCCCGTAGTTTATTTAATTGTAAATAAGTTTGAAGATACATTTTGAAGCCGTTAAATGTGTTTCATTTAATAACTTTTAAATATCTACATAATTTTTATTTTATTAGTGTCCTATTTAGATTCATGTCTCCTAGAATTATTTCAGATTTCAGTTATGGTGCTAGTCCGTTAACAGAAGGTAAGTGTTTAAAATTAATTTAAGACCTTTTATCTATCCAACAGGCCGTGAGTTCCATTCCCACCCTGCCAACATGTTCATAATCAATTATAATTTTTCTGAAACAGCTTGGACATCGTCTGGAAATCTGAATTTTAAATGGGCGGTAGGAATATCGTAATTCCCTTCAAATCACGAACTACCCACAGATGCAACGGGAGTTTAATCGCGTTTCAGTTTAGATCTGTGGATTTATAAAAATCCAAAGCAAAAATTGGTCGATAGCGCACTCAATAGTTTGTGGGAGTATTTGATCTACCATAAATTTAACCTCATGGTTTTTTCCTTCTCTACCATTAAAAAGTTACTTCCCAATTTCCTCAATAATGTTCTCTTAATTATAAATATGATACCACTGAGTGGCATATAACATACTTGTCTCCGTATTTCCTCCAAAACAAAGGACATCAATATCAACCCCCCTATGTAGACGATCACCATGACGACGTACAATAATATATTTTCCTTACCCTGAAACAAAGATTAATGTCAACGCGTTATTCATACGGAGAACGAGTTAAGGTATTTAAATAAGACACTTTTAACAGTTTAAAACGCGAAAATTTTGTTAACTTATTCTTAATTTACTTAAAAGTCGGGCTATAGTTAAAATAAATGAAAGATTGGTTAATTAATATATTTGGGGTTTTAAACGGTTAAAAGTGATTTATTAAACAACTCTCTCTATTACAGACAATAATGAATTGAACCATTTCCTTTCTAAACGAATTTAACTAAGCGACTCTATAGACTTAATTTAATTACTAGTTTTCTACCTCGTCTTTACTTACAACACAACCCAAATATATACATACTAATACATTTTGTGGTATAATGGTAAAACGCGTTGTATAGGAGTTCCCGAGTTTGACCGGTACTCGAACTCCTATACCACAACTCCTATATGTGTGACGCCATACAAAGTAGCAAAAGCGGATCATTCATTTAACATTTGTTCATAACTGCTAAATATTTAGGTACTATGCTATGCTAATGTTGTTTCATGCTAAACTTACCGCATACATGATTTGGTACATCATCAAACTATCTCCAACTAGATTATGCAGATAGGTAGTTGTCACATTGATACCAAACGCAGATCGCACATTTTTAAACACCCTGTATGTACAGTCTTTTCATTAGAGAATACAGAAAAATACATTGAGAGTTTAAGAATACGAAATTACTTTTTTTATTTATTGACATTGCATCCCTCTTAGGAACTAAGGTTTAATTTTTTTTTAAATATTATCATGTTATTTTAAAAATCGAAAATAAATTAAAATTGATAATTTCGACTCAGGCAGGCCTCTCGCGCAATGTAATATTAATGTTTTCAGACGTTATAACTTTGTTATTTCATCTTCAATGATTTCTTAAGCTGCAAAGCATAAGACGTTGAACCTTAATACGCAATCGTTAAGGTTGAAATTACATTGCGCGGTAGGTGCATGTATCAATAAATTGAAAAAAAATCACGATGAGGTGTAGGACTCGGTAGCTCAATTGGTAGAGCAACAGCACGGAACGCTGACGATGCCGGTTCAAGTCCTGCTCGAGTAGAATTTTATTTTCAATTTTTAAATTATATAATGCCTTCATGTGCATTATCATGTACATAGAGTAAACGAAGACTAACGAATATACGTCTTTGCTTAGCGGGGGAACAAGCAAGATATCTTGATGATGTTATTCTTTAGCGAGGGAATAAAGGTGGATTATATTCCTCGTTTAGACAGCCAAAAAGCTTGAAAGCCCACTTTTGATAATCAAAAAATCAATTTAAAAACAATAACCTTAAAATAAAACCATGATATTTGAACACCTCTATCAATATATCTCTAGTTTCTTGATCATTCAAGATTGGCTTAAACTCCATCTTAATCTTCTGCTTTAGGACTTGGATGTGCCCAATCAAATGGTACACGAACATATAGTTTAATGTTTGGAATATCATCATCACCATGACTCCCATACCAACGACATATGCGTTTATGATGTGAATCCAGAACCAGTTCTTGTAATCATAACTGAAATTTGATTGAAACAATAAACAGCATTTACAAGTCAATTGTCATTTGTTTGTATGTAATATTTTATTAGCTTATCTCTTTATTACACATGGCATTAGGGACACACCCTTCTTCAGTTCCCCCGTGACCACGTCCGTTGTTAAATATCCAAAACGTCGGGTCGTAGTTTAAATAAATAAAAAATGAAGTGTAAAATGTTATTTAAACCCATTTAGAAAATAGAAAACTAAAACTATAAAATTTACTGAGTGACCGTATCGCTATCTATCTATCTCTTCTAGGTACCAAACCAATAACTGTAAGTATTATTTTGTTAAGTGCTATAAAAATTAAATTTTGCTTGAAATTACTAACAAGAAAAAGAAATGAAAAAATCGCTTAAATGTAACTAACATATCATTGTTGTGTTAATTGTTAGTCAATTTTTTACATTCATTAACTGATTTTAACACATATGTAATAGAAAAAGACAACCGAAGCTAAGTGAAGTTGAATACTAACGAATTCTTCAAAATACTAACGGATTAATTGTTATACTATTATTATAGTGTTTGGAACATAGAGAATTTGTATTTGTTGTATTAGTTATATGTTTGGAAGAATTTCGATATAAATTAAAGTAACGGGAGTATATTTAGAGTACTTTACCTGTAGTCCAAAGGAAACCAAAGATACAGACACGTTTGTAAACGCCTTGTACGGTTCTGTATATACTCTTGATTTTTTATGTTATTTAACACCGGAATCCAAATCCACACAACCCAGTTCATTGAGAAAAAGAATATAAGGTAGCAGGCCGTCCATCTTGTTATACGTTCGACGTTTAAAATTTTCTAGAAAAAGGAAATGTAGGTTATTAGGCTTAAAAAAGAATCATACTCGAAAATCGCGTTTCTTTTCTAATATTTTTCTCTAATTAAAACGGTATTTAGTGTATAGTCCCCCATTACTACGGCTGCTGTAAATCATGAGAAATGTCAGACGGTAGTTAAAAATAAATTGTTAATAAGTTAACGAATATATTTCGTGATTTGAAACTTTTTAAATACAATTTTATTCAAAATGGTATTTGTTCATTTGTTTTGGTTACATAATTATATGCTGTATTTCGTAGGGTTGTATAAACATACTTCAAATTAGCGAAGGAATTCTATGTAAGCTAGCTAATAAAGGTATTTATAAGTGAATATAGTCACGCTTAGAAAGTCAAGGTTTTCACAGAAAATTGTGAAAAGAACCGCTCTAAAATATGCACGTATAATAAATAATGTATGACTTTCGGTAACAACCTTTTTCATAAACGATTTGTTTTCCTTACACTCGTTGTTAAGGTGAATTTCAGACATAAATTGTTTCATTAACATTTTATAAAACGACAGCTTTGCTGAATAAAGGTTCACCTGCAACAAACACTTTTCGTGAAACATTTCCACGATATTTAAAAAGAGATTTTACCTTGTAATTATGCAATAACTAACTGTACATTTTAAGAGTAAAGAAATTAAAAAAAAAATAACACGGATGGGACATAAACTACTAAATTAAACGGTACTTTTTAAACTTCACAATCGAATATTTGAATCTATTTATTACATTATTTACGAAAGAAGTGATAAAATCAGCCAGACAAAAAATAAAAGATAGTACCAAGATTCAAGACGCAATTAAAACTTATAAAACATGGAAATGGCGTTGGGCAAGTCACACGATGGGAGAGAGGAGAGAGAAATAGACAAAACCCATAACCGAATGGTATCCAACAAGCTATAAAAGAAACAAAGGACAGATAAGGAGATGGGATAATGAAAAAACAGTATGTCACAGTATTTTTTTTTTTTTAAGTTTTATGTATATTTTTTATTTTATATAAAATAATGTGTCACGTTAGATGTACATGTGTTTGATGTAGAGCTTGTTAGCGCATAAGTTGTTTATTTGTATTTAATTTAAGAGTAAATTTTAAACGCATTTGTTTCTCCAGAAGCGGTGGCGCCAGGGGCCACTGAAAATCAGTGTTGCACAAGTGTGTTCGTAACATTAAGCTGAGTGGCTCCCGTTTTAGGAGTTGCCATAGACATTCATTTTAATTTTTTGTTTAGTTTTCTATGTTTTGTATTAAGTTAATATTAGTTCATAGATTTTATTTCTGTAAGCAACTTTTGAAATAAATGATTTTATTATTATTATATTCAGGACGGAAGGTCGAGCATGGACAAGATTAGTCCAAAACAAACATGCATGGAGACATTTAGAGGCCTCTGTCGTAGGGCGAACTACTTAAAAGCATCGTCGGTTAATATATAAATACAAGTAATGTAAAGTAGTAATAAAGGTACATTTTTTTATAGGCGTTATTTTAAATAGTATGTACTTACATTAGCCAAACATGTTACTGGAACAATGGAAAATATTATACTTATTGTTTCGAATGTTAGATCCTTGTGATTCACGTATAAAAATAGTAATTGTGAAGCCAGTAATACGGGGCCAAATGTCTCAATTATAATGTTGTTAATACGAAAGAAGATGTTCCCTTTACTAAAGCCCCACCAGCTTTTATCTCCTAGTGCAGTTAGATGCAGTAGAATCGCAAAGACTTTGTAGAAGGTTTGTTCTTTGGGTGGTTTCCTGAAAAATATGGGGTAGCTAGAGTCAGAGTGGCTTAATAACAAAAAAAACATGATTCTCATTTAAATAAAACACTTTAACGGTTTAAAACGCGATATAATAGTTAAACTTATTTGAAAATGATTTTTAACTTCGGCCACACGTTTCGGATGCTTTGTAGCAGCCGTGGTCACGGGGAGACTCCCCGTGACCACGTTTAGGCTATTATATCGAGTTTTAAACCGTTACAGTGTTTTATTTAAATGTGTACTACTCGCGTAAATTATAGACCGTATTCAAAAGGTTTTTTTAAAGAAATAGATCATATTGTTAAAAACTACGTTTCATTTTAAAATAGCTTTATTATTATTATATAGTACTATTTTTAATTGAGTCCATGCTAAAATAAGTTTTAGTGTAAAAAAAATATACTATTTGACAATATAAACAAATTAATAAAAAAATATCACAACACGAGTCTGTTGGCACGACACAACACTAGATTACCACAAAATAATAATTATGTTTATGCACGGTGAACTTTTGTCGGTTTAACGCTGTGCACATTTTTTTTTATCTTTAACACATTTCTTGCTATTATAACTGTGGGAATAAAATTATATCTGAACTTCTCTTTAGTTTTGCCCATAAATCACAATGTTTGTTTATTTATTCCTAATTCGTTGTTAATATTTAACAAAGTTGAAAGATCTTAATTTTAGGTAATTTGTTGTATTTATTTTTTATATTATATTACAAGTGATTCAATAATAATTAAAACTATTGTTTTCACTATCCAACATCATTATAATTGATTTTCTTCTAACAAAGAAATCTGTTTTATTACATTTGCAGAGCAAGTTTAGTTTTTATTTAAGCTTATGTTTTTTTTTTTACTATATACTAAACACATACGATCATTATTACCGAATAAAACAAAAATGTCTTACAAAAAATACTTCCCCATCATGTCTTCGTTCAAGTTTAACTTAGTGATATAACGGAGAACTCGTGGCAGTATATTCTTCAAAGTGTCCATAATTCTATACGACTTTTTTTACTTTTATGCGGTTTTCAGATGTGAGTTGTGACGTCATATGGATTATGATAATGCGGTACTTGAAACTTTTTTTAAAATAAAATAAGGGAGTTTAATAACATCTTTATTTTCTTTGCAGATAATGTTTAAATTATTCCGTTTGGAAACTATATAGTTTTCAAGCTATTTCCTTATTTGGCGCAAATGACATCGCCAAATATGAAAATAGGAAGCAGTAAATATAGTATAAATACATAGCCAAAATATACAAATTACAGTATCCAATATCTACTTATTCATTAAGAAGAAATTTAACGACGATATACGTAGCAAAAGTTATGAGTATTGTTATTGTGTTTTTTTTTTGTAAGTAGAATAAACAGTTTATATAAATTTTCAAGTATTAACGTAAAATTTGAACGAAATGTTTTAAAACAACCGAGGTACGACGTCAAGTACAATTTTTATGATGTACATCTCCAACTTTATTTTAATGTATTCATTAATTCACTATAGAAAACAATGCATCAAATATCCTATTGAGTTTTGTCGATTTTTGTTTGACACGTCTTGTCTTGTCCATACGTTTCCTTGTGTAATTAAATTGGCCTGTGTACAATGGACACTCTCAATCAAATTATCCTGATTACAAAGTGTCCGTCACATCTAAGTGGATGGAATACAAATCCACTTGATTACAGACAACAGACGACTACTTGCCAAACGGTTCTTATTTTAATTGTCTGTTTTTATGATCCGGAGTTTTATTGTCTTATCGGCTAATAAAACGACTTACATAATGTCGTAGTTTGATGGCCCCCATGTACAGCCAGCAATGTATAAATGACAAAGTGGCTCTGCATTTATATTGTTCGATTCTGGCTTATGAAAAGAACAGAATTTTTTTAATTATTTTATAGCAGTACTCTATTATAGATTAATCCAATAAAGAATATCGTTTTTAAATGCACGCTGTATGGAGTAAGAAAAGGCTTATTTAATTAATTATGTCAATACATTTCAGATTGTTTTAAGCAATATTTTCCAATTCGGTTATATTGTTTTTATAGTACAGCCAACTTAAGGTCCGTGATGGTACATGTGTGCCTTTTGAAGAACGATGATTAACGGCTATAATTAATTAATTAAGACGAGGTTTGCAAGAACGAATTCTTATGCTCAGGTGAGTCAGGCAGAATAGTTACTTATAATATTAGACAAAAGCTTTATTAACTAATTAAAGCTTGCCAGTAAATTGAACTTAGTAACACTCTGTATTAGTACAAAAAGATTGGA